TCTTCTTCTTCCTCCCACCCCTCATCTGCGTCTGCAAATACACAAGTTAGAATGTATTTCCACCATGGATAAGCCACAATGTTACACAAATTAACAGTAAGAAATAGCAACAAATAAGTCATATGAGCAATAATTATTTGCCAATGCCTTTCTCAGTATACGTGAGAAAGAAGGTGGGTGAGGACCTAGTAAGTCATTCGGATGTGTAAGCGGCGATTACACGTCTATCATGTAAAAATTTGTAGGCATGGGATGAACTGCATCGCTTACATAAATGTTAAAACGCCACTTCTTGAGTCGTTGCAATTACCAGCACACCTTTCTGTTGCCATGAATGACGATCGCAATTTATCAACGTCTCGCCATCACTTCCCCTCTGCCACTTCAATAAATCCATTTTTACATACATAGTGATTTAGCAATGGTCTGAGTACTTGGCCTAGTGCACAAGTACTCGATGCTCCAATTGACCACGTCAGGCAATTGTTAACACTCGGTGGCGGTAAGCCAGGCACCAGGGGAGTAGTAGCGGTTGACGTTGTAGAATTGGTGGATGAGGTCAGTGCACACACTCGTCTCCACTTGCATGACTTGCAAGGAATAAGACACTGCTACTGGCAGCATATCAGTAAATTGAGTTTCTGATGAGAACGTGCATCACCGAATTGGGTACCCAAAAATTGTACTCAAAATTGTAAAACTGTATCTACCAAAGTTAGCGAAGTGTTTCGTCCTTGGACGTAAAAATATGAACAAATGCAAAAATTAGTGCACACGAGCAAGAAAGCATATTCACTCTGCTCCCCACGGTTGAATGCGCGTTTGCATCACAAAGCACCAACTAACCGGACTTATCCTCAGAATCTAAAAGTGGCAGTAAAAAATTCAGCTGTCGCTCTATTGATAGCGTGCCACGGAGCCATATTGTATCCGCCTTCTAGTCTTTGGAAAACCAATCCCGTACTTCAAATTGTCCCACTTTCATTGGCAAAAACGAGGCAAATAAAATAATTATTTGGCTAACAGGGGAAATGGCTTCTGTAAAAACCGTCAACATACCTTCGTCACTTGTACCTAAAAAGTTGAAAAATCAGACCGAAATGTCTTATCCCCAAATGAAGAGTGAATTTGAATGCCAATGCCAACAAAGCAACAGCATAACGTGGAGGTAGAGAGAGAATTGAGCAGAAAACACAACCAACCGCGATTTTGTGCTCCAATAGTAAAAAGCATGGGCCGATGGGCTTGGCTAGCTGGGTAAGGTGCATTCCCTTAAAAGAATTATTGCAGTACAATGCATGTGATTCGATGCAAGATGATCTTCCTATTTTTATTTCAACTTCAGAATCACCGAATGCAACATGTTAGCATTTATTAAAGCGATTTTAGTGGCACTGGTTCAATAAGAGGGACTTAGGGGGGAATCAAAGTGGAGAACTTACCAAAATCCTCATACTCTTTCTCATCTGCTTTACGCTCATTCTCCTCGATTTCTGCCTCCACTTTCTCCAGCGCCGAAGCCAAAAGCTCCTCCAACTTTTGGTTGTTTAAGACCTTAATAATTAATTCCAACAGGCGATTAAACAGCCACAGACACAGTGCTTGAAAACTCAACTGTCAGTAGTAAAAAGGCCACACATACGTAAGCGGCATACTGGGCATTTTGAAAGTACGTCTGTGCTTCATTGAAATTGTTTAGTGCCAAATGAGCCTGTGCAATCAAGACACAGG